ATTTTTTCTGAATTTTTTCGAATTTTGCGGGTTTTTAATACAACTTTTTTAAAATGAAAAGATTATAGTCTAGAAATCATTCATTCATACTTCATTTTGAATACACGTACAAAATGTAAACAGAGTGAAACTCAAAATATAACAATAAAGATTCAGAATATAAACAACGTTTAGTAAAAGTAAAAGTATTTTGGTTATTTTAGTCTCAGTTCTGTATTCGTCTGGAAAATTTTTTTGACAAAAAAATACCAGTTTCCGGACCAATTTTGGCTGAAGCCAAAGAATTCTAGATCTAATAAAGATCTAGAGCATCAGAATAGTTTTATCATTCTTTAATGTCTTCAGAAACGTCGTTAGAATTTTGCATCAATCTTTGTGATGCTCTAGAGTGAGCTAGAAAGCTTCAATCGGAAACTTGAAACGGTCAAAATTTATTAAAATTTGACAAGGAATTAAAAAAAAATATTTTCAAATTTTTTTACCGGAACCATCGGGTTCCAGGAACCTTTATATGTTAAAAATAGCATTTTTCGTCTCTAGAAGCTATTGCCTTCAATTAAAAAATCTGAAAAAATTTGAGGTTATGTATTTTGATGAAAAAAAAAAATTTTTTTGGATTTTTCGAGGCTTCGTATCGTCCTAAAAAAATCATTTTCGTAAAAATAGGGGTTTTGGCTTCAAAAGGTGCGTTCACTTTTTTGAAAAAATCTGAAAAAATTTGAGGTTACTTTTTTTAATAAAATAAAAAAGTGAAAAATTTTTCGAAATTGTTTGAATTGTTAAAAAGTACTTCCATGAATTTTTCAGATTTTTTAATTGCTTCAGGGCTTAACCCGTTAACGCCCAAACGGACAGAATTTTTTTCTCTATTGCAGTTTGCAATTAAATCATCTTATCGGAGCGAGAAAAATTTTTTGGTACTCATTTTCTAAGTAAAATTTAATGTACTTTTTGAATATGGGTTCATAATTAACCTCTGATAAATATTAAAAAAGTTATAAACAATGCGAAAAAACACGATTTTGAATCTTGAAAAAAAACTTTGATTGAATTTTTTTTTATGAAAGAGACTTTAACTGTGGCCAATAATACTCAAAATTGTGGAATAATAAACTAAAGTTTAATGTACCGTGGGTGGGATTTGAATATTCAATATTTTTTTTCTAATGTTGATCGTTTTCGAACAAAAAAGTACATTTTTTGGAACATTTTTTGGTAAATTTCTTGGTTAAAGTGTATTTTTTGGAGTCAACCATTTTTAATATTCAAATCCCACTTACAGTACTTTAAACTGTAGGTTATTATTACACAATTAACACTTTCATTCTTTTTTTTCATCATATTCGCTAACGCATTTATGTTGTAAAGGTTGACACTTTGGCCGGGTTTTGATACTCGATATAACTCAAGGTATATGTATTGGGGTTGAAAAAGAAAAAGAAAATTTGTTTAACTTTAATTGTTTTTTAGGTTTTTAAAACAATAGCTGTGTATTGTCACTACCGGAATCACTGTTGATAAAAGTGTTGCTATTCGATGTGCTGGTTTCGTAAATTTTAATTTGCATATTTAGCTAAATGCCCACTATATTACCTCAAATTTTGTGTTACGCACGTTCACCCTCTTTCGCGGCCCGTGCGCGATTTTGAAAAAAAACCGCTGCCAATGTATTGGCAAGTAGCTTCCTCATACTTTTTCTTTAACTTCGAAATAATTTGGAAATATTAATATCATCTTTTCTAATTTTTTTCACAAAACAGTTTCAATCATAAATTATTTCTGTTTGTGGAATCAATTGCCAATGATCTTCTATTCTTTGATATATAATTATTATCAAATTTTTTTCTCGATGACCTAACAATTAAGGTAGTTCCCTCAAAAAAAAAATAGTTTTTGTACCAGCGGCCCGAAAGTGACTACTTCTCTGCCACTGTGCAAAGCGAGAAGAGCGATTTTCGGACCACTCTGTATAAATAATAGTATACAGGCCTACGCCGCGAAAAAAGAAAGCCCCAGAGCACGTGTTATCGGCCTCGGCTTCGCCTCGGACACTAATTGCACGTACTCTGGAACTTTTATTATTTTCGCGGCCTATGGCAGTAATATACTATTGGCAATATTAATATCATTTTTTCTAATTTGTTCACAAAACAGTTTGAATCATAACAGAAAAAAAAATTTTCCCGAAAATATTTTTGAAATTCGAAAAAAAAAATTTTTTTGTTCGTTTATCGCTAAATCAAATTTTCTGGCTTCATCCTTAATCCGTCCATAAACAATGTTTTGACACATCATAAATTTTGGGTACGAAACAACACAAAACTAAGAAAAAGAAAAAAATCATAAAAACCAAATTTCAGTTTCAAAACATAACTTTTCAAACTTACGGTGAATCTTTACGCTTTTTATCTTAAATCAAAGGTTAAAAGCTCTGCCTTAAAAAAAGTATTACTTTTATTCAAAAAAACCAGTTTGTTTTAGAACAAATATGATAAAACTAAAAAAAACATGAAAAAAAAATTTTTTTCTCGAAAATCCCTCATAACTTTTTAAATACTTAACGCAGAACTAAAAATGATGTTTTGGCTTCTTCCTTACATCAAAACGAATGAAATGAGACATCTACAGTAAGGATACGAACTACCGTCATCGAAATATCACTCAGCACAGACATACACACGTACATACACACACACACACACACACACACACACATACTGCACCAGCCTCCGTTGGTCTAGTGGGTAGAGGCGTTGGGCCATCTATCTGCTAAACCAACGCTGTGCTGAGGGAGCGGGTTCGATCCCCACTGAGGGAAATTTCATTCGTGATTTTTCGCTCGGTGAGGTCGAGCTCGAGCCCGAAGTGGTTCGGATTCCACTATAAACTGTAGGTCCACGGCTGTAGGCAGCCTCCTGGAGGGTGGTGAAATATCCTCCAATCACCCTGCGGCCCAAGTTGAGAAGAATTCCCGCAAGATGGAGCCCGAAAGCCAGAACTCCTAGTGTTGATGTTGGACAACGGAGTGCATCATTCAGGAGGAAAAGCGCCAACACAAGGAAGAGCACCGACCCCTCGGCTCCAAGTTCCAAGGTTGGAGCCCGATATCAGAACTTCTAGTGCTGGCGCTGACCGACGGAGTTTCCACTCATCATGGAGGAAAGCCAGGAAAAAAGCGAGAGGTGATCGCAAAGAGGCGGAAAAAAGCGTGACGGTGTAGTGGGTGAGACCCGGACCTCTATCACAAGGACGGCTACTAGTTTAGCTTCCGGCGAAGTTCTGACGAACGTACCAAGAGGAAAAACATCAGCACAAGGGAGAGCACCGACAAAGACGGCTCCGGAAGGCGGAAATGACGCTGGATGAGGGCTCCGCGGGGCGAGCGGGGGATCACCAACGAGTTGACACGGTTCCTGAACCCCTGATCACTGCGCCTTGGCGTGCGGTGGATGGGGGATGTAGGGAAATGACCAAGTACGTCGATGCAGCAGCACTGCTAAAAGGCACCCACCGAAGTAATATCTAACGATGGTTCCGGTGGGAATCATGCCAGAGTTCGGAAGGGCCACTGGTGCAAGGGTTCACCCTGCCCACGCCCTCCCCATAAAAAAAAAAAAAAAAAAAAAAAAAAAA